ACCTATATATTCCACACACACACACACACACATATATATATTTTCTCTCTTCTATTAAGTACTCGTTTAACGGTGCTAATTAGATCGACGATAACAATCGTTACAGCATGACGACATTTAACTATCAAAGAACACCCTTTCAACGAGCTAAGTTGCGAGTATACAATTTTAAGCTTTTTAACATCGATCAGTAAGGTATATAATTTTACGAGGAGCGTAATGGCATTTAATGTTAGTTTTTTCTTCGTTATCAAATTGAATGTGATAAGGAAGAAAAAAGAAAACTGTGTCGTTATTTGTTATTCATTTATATTCTTTCTTTCTTTTTTCTTTTCTTTTCTTTACTTTTCTTTTCTTTTCTTTTCTTTTCTTTTCTTTTCTTTTCCTTTCGGGTTCCTTCTTTGGTCGTTTTCAAACGGATAGAAAATCGAAGGAAAGGGAAGAGAAGTTGGCGGACACGGTAGAGTTGTTTCTAAGTATGAACCAAGGCAATACGAATTATTCGTATTAACTCCCGACAGAAGCGCGGCGTATATAAAAGTGGCCTGTGCAACTAGGTATGGCTCGCTGCGTCTTGGCTATGCGGAAAGGAAAGCCAACCAACGTGCATCGTCTTCTCTTGCGAACCGACGACGAAAGACGATGCGCTTTTGTGCGCGCGAGCGAGCGAGCAAGTACACACGCGCACAAACATTTGCACTTTAGTACAGAGAATGCAGGTAAAAGAGTCAACAGAGGTTAACATGTTAGATCGTAAAATCTTAAAATAGAGATTGGACAATTTTTTATCTTTTTTTTTCTTCTTTCGTTTTTTGGAGATCTTTATTTTTTTTTTCTTTTTTCTTTTTTTTTTTTTTTTTTTTTTTTTTGTTGTGAGATCTTTTCTTTCCAAAATCGATTTCATTTTTGTTTTAGCTTTTCAAACGTTTATTACTTCCGTCCGAATTTAGATTTCTATTGTCTTAGCGATCGTACGTCTATACGTATGTTCGTCTTTGTGTACGTGTGTGTATGTGTGTGTGTGTGTGTTTATATATATCATTGAAACGAAGCAGACAAGACGATTGTTCCAAAGTAGAAGGTGCGGCACATCGAATAGAAAGAGCTCGCTAATACGAGGTGTCCAACATTTATTAAAGCTCGACTCTCGGCATTCGAAAGACTTCAATTATCGTTGGGTGGCGGTCGAGGATACCAGAGCCATGTGGGAAAGTTACTAGATATTACTACTTTGGTCGATGCCCACGTATTTCTCGTATATACATATTTACGTCTAACGATTTCCTAGATTTCTCATCGGACAACGCATTCGTACTTTTCCTTGAACTAGACTTATAATCTATTACCATGACGTATACGCATAATAATTTTTATGTACAACCAGTAGTAGTAGCAGTATCAGTAATAGTAATAATAATAATAATAATAATAATAATAATAATAATAATAATAATAATAATAATAATAATAATAATAATAATAATAATAATAGTAATAGTAATAGTGTTGGATAAAAGATAAACGTGGTATGCAGAAGAAGAGAGAATTTAGAAGTCAATCAGCGTAAATCATATTTAGACAAATTACTTAAAGGTTAAGAACTTAAGGAACCACCGGGGGCTTTTGGGTTGCGAACGCAACCGTCGTATAAGTTATTACGTTGGAAATACAATAAAACTTTCATTGCGTCGTAAAGTCGTCGTGGAAAAGAAAGGATAGGTTGGTTGAGAATTGTACATACACGGTCACGGGCATGGACCCGTCGACAGTAAGTGTTATCCTTTGCCTTTGTCTCCTCTAAGGATTCATTTCCCGTAAATTTCGTACCATTGATCCGTACGACGGAACTGATGGTAATAAGGATAAACAATGTCGATTATATCGTTCGAATGAGAATACGCGTTGTGCATCGACGCGTGTTGGTGTTGTGTTCGTTTAACATACAAGAATAAGACAAAGAGAGAGAGAGAGAGAGAGAGAGAGAGAGAGAAAGTGAATGATACGTATTTCTATGCGTTTTAGATACAAGTATATTTCATGTGGTTAGAAAGCAACCGATAAATCGTGCGATTTCGTGCGAAGCGAAAAATTTGCGGAGGCGAACGTCGGGTATTTTAATTTTTTTATTGTTTTTTTTTTTTCTTTCCTCTTTTCTTTTTTGTAAGATTCGACTCGGAGCGAGTTGAGAGGAGTACCGTTTCTAAGGGAAAAGAAAGGATGAAAGTAGAAACAAAGGGGGTATATGTATCTACGATTTACGTATATGTAGATATGTATCTGTTTGTGTCTATGTGTGTGTGTGTGTGTGTGTATGTGTGTGTATGTGTTTCCGATCGATGCACTTTCAGTACGCGTTGGTGGGTATAAAAGAGCTTTATCGTTCGGATTAATCCGTTCTTACGCGTGGAAAGACGAAGGAAGAAGAAGGTACACGACGGCCATTGTCTTGGCGCGTGAGAAAGACACGAAATCAGGATCGTCCTCTAAAAAATTCCGATCTCGTATATTTCGACGAGGGATGTTTCGAATCGACGATTTGCGCATGGCCGACCATTCCTTTAGATCGTTCACTGAACTTTCCGAGAAAAAAGGAAAAAGAAAAAAACAAAAAAAGGAAAGAAAAAAAATAAAGATACCTTGTAGAAAAAGTTCGAATAGGAAGGATATATATATATATATATATACATATATATGTTAATCAAGGAACTATGATTGCTTGTCTGTGAAATAATTTCAAGGAAAGTACAAATCCGTGATAGAAGGAAGTCGACCGGAATATCATTTGAATTTCTATATATTTCTAATATTAATTTGAAATGTAAATTCACGCGAGTCATGAAATTCCACAAAGTACTTCCGCTCGAGACAATCCTCTTTCTCTCTCTCTCTCTTTCTCTCTTTCTCTTCAATTTCACGCGTTCTCGCGAGCTGACCTGTGCAAATGCGGCGGCGCGACGTTCAAGCAAACTCCCATCATCTTCGTCTTCCGCTGTCGAGTGTGCGTTTACTCGCTCTTTTCGGAGGCAGAAGGAGGCAGAAAGAGGCAGAAGGAGGCCTCCGAATAGCCGTGACTCTTCAACTAATAAAACGTCGTGAGTAAGAGAGAGAGAGAGAGACAGAGAGAGAGAGAGAGAGAAAAAAAGACGCGTTACATCGTCGTTCGCTTTCCAAATAAGCGAATCCCATTCTCCTCCAGCTCGTCCTTTCTCATTCTCTCTCTTCCCCTCTCTCTCTCTCTATCTCTCTGTTTCTCTCTCTTTCTCTTTTTGCTTCGCTCGAAGGATGAGAGGAGCTCGAAGTGAATTTACTGCAAGTTGTCTCTTCTCGTAAACGCGGGAAAGAAGAAGGCACGGCGAGGACGACTCGTATCGTACCTATGTACATATGTATGTACGCAACTAAGTACGTACGACCAATAACAAGGCTTAACAAAGAGACCTATCCACACAAAGATATAATATGTGGGCGAGGATGATTAATTCAAAGAAAATTATTTCTTTTCATCGATATAATGGAGAAAGGAATAACAAATTTTATCATCAGATATATATATATATATATGTGTGTGTGTGTGTGTGTGTATAAGCTTTTCATGACATCAAAGACAGGAAAGAAGATATTATAATTTTTTCCCGTGAGATTATTTTAAAATCCATTGAATTATAAAAGGACACATTAATTATTATAAAAATAATATAATTAGTAAATGAAAAATCTAGATCAGGATTATCTCATTATATCCCTACTATTGTCTCTTAATTACATTTAATTCTCACGATATATTTTATCCGATTGCTTTCATGAAATATATTTCAGAGGATTGTATCGCGTTGTTGTCGAAAAGAGAAAGAAATGGAATGAAAGAAGGAAAAGAAAAGAAAAAAAAAAGAAAAAAAAAAGAAAAGAAAAAAGAAAAAGGTAAAGGAGAATAAAAAAAAATATGGAGAAAAATAATAAAGACAAAAGAAGATGGATGATACTCGAAGAAGAGACTTTCGTGTTATGTTATGGCGTGATAGAGAAAGAGAGAGAGAGAGAGAGAGAGAGAGAGAGAGAGAGAGAGAGAGAGAGAGAGAGATTGTTGCTTAGGAGTCGATAAGGTCTCGATTGCAATGCGAATCCTTGATAAATACAAACAACTAAGATTGTCTATATACCATTCGTGATGCAGTGGTCATGGATGAACGAGTGAGAAGGACTGTGTGTATGTGTGTGTGTGTGTAAGAGAGAGAGAGAGAGAGAGAATCGCGACGAAGGATAGATATACCCGAGAGCGCTTCTCTATCGCTACTTTACTAAGTAAGTCGCGAAAATGTCACTAACACCCGACAAGAGCCACTTATATAACGACGTATAAGAAGGAGGAAGAGCGTTATGGAAAGCAAAGGCCAGCAGACGATCCTTTCTGCGCTTTCTACCTTCGATCTTACTCTCTTACGGTAATTACGTAGACCTCTTCGTGCAGCTCGTCCATGCACGCTCGTGATTTCTACGTTCGTACGTTCTTTAAGTCTACATACGTTCCTATACTGATATACAACTGAACACACGCAAAGACACATATACACAGACACAGAGAAATGTAATAAGCATACAAGCAAAATGTATACGAGGCATATAGCGTATCGGAGTACTATATACGAATCGACGTTCGGTATCGGTATGCGTTTTGTATGCACGCGCACGAAAATATTACGATCGTCTTTCGAAATCGTAATTCTTCCATTTCCTTTTTCTTCTCTTTTTTTTTTTCCTCCCTTTTATCACGTTGAATCATTAATATTGATTATCGAGAGAATTTCTTGTTTTTTCAATCTTTTAATATCCCTACGCAGAAATAATATTTTTTATATTATATTTCTCTCCTATCGCATATATTTTGTTGCGAGAGTGAAGAAATCTTTAGAAATCGTTTTAATATGGAATGAATTGTTTGCCGAAATGATCAATATCGTATGTTTTTCTTTAATTAAGTTTGTCATTGTTTTTTGTTAATTTAGTCGACAACCGGGAGTGGATTCTTCGAGGTGCAGATCCTCTCGTTGACGAACAACAGGGGCACCCTGGTGGACGGCAGGTGTTGCGGCGGGGGTGGGGGAGATGGAAAAGGTGGCTTACCACCATGCACGACCTCCTGTTCAACGGCCTTCTGGTTATGCCTGAAGGAATATCAGTCGAATGTCACTGCCATAGGCTCCTGTAGCTTTGGCAACGTATCTAGTCACGCCCTCGGTCAGAACACTTTCACCCTCACCGAACCTGTCACCTTGCAACTGCACTTCACCTTCAGATGGACCGTAAGTGTCGATTCTTTTTTTCCTTTTTTCTTTTTTTTTTTTTTTTTTTTCTTTCTTCGTTTTATTTTTAATGTCTTTTATGCAGGACGAGTTTAACTCTACGTTTAACGTACAGATATATCATTTTTCTTTTTTTTTCTTTTAACGCATATTGAATTAAAACGATACGAATGATAAATTCAATTTTGTCAGATTTAAATGTTGAAATTCTTTCGTAATTACTATCACAATTATTTCACCTTTACGGTAACGCGCAAATCTTTTGCCATTTATCTCGTTTCGACTGATATTCTTTGACGGAAGCAATTATCGTTGGTTCGAGATTATAAACCAGGAAAGAAAGGAAAAAAATTCCAACGGCAGTGGCGGCGTTGGTGTACAGCATGCGGCAGTTGGCGCGCGCGTAAAAATTCATAAGGAGTTAAGTACTCGTAAAAAATTAAAGAGAGATTGGTGAAAGATAGAAAGGAAGGAGAGGGAGAGGGTTCATTAGCCGTGATTAATTTTGTTCTTGGTGTCGTCGTATCCCATTTGATCCTACTGTCAAAGAAGCTGAGGATATCAAAGAGTTACGGAGATTTTGCTCGACGGATGAAGCTATAACGAGAGAAACGAACCTCGGCATCTTGGTTTATTCTTTAGGAACTTCAAAACCGTCGGATGAGAGAATCATTTATCATTAAAGTCGTTATAGAAGAGCGTATCCTTTTCTCTTTTTCTTTCACTTTTTAAAGTCGACCGCGTCTCACCATTTTATTCTTTCGCTGGATGCTCGAGCGAAATTACGTCCTGTATATTATTCATGAAATCATTGAAAAATCGACGAAAGATGAAGGATGAAGAAAAAGAAAAGAAGAAGAACAGAAAAAAAAAAAAAAAAATAAAATGTCTTTGTCTTCGATTAATAAACGAAGAGTTTTAACACGTACGTTTATTATTTTCGAACGAACGTTCCGCAATTCCTTCGCTACGAGCTAAAGCAAATTTGTCTATTATCGATTCCTTTGTCGATTCGAAGTCGTGTACCAAACGATATGAGAGGGAGAGGAGGAGAGGGTTATCGAATCCAAAGGGATTTCCGGTCTGTTGCCTTTCCATCCATGAATTGTACGAGAACTCTCTCCCTCTCTCTCTCTCTCTCTCTCTCTCTTTCTCTCTTTCTTTCATTCTCTTTTTTTTCTCGTCGAGATTCCAGTTCGGTTCCAGTCGCTTGGCAACACCTCACCTCTCGCTTTTCTTCTTATTCTTTCACGTCTTTCTTCTTCTTCTTCTTCTTCTTCTTCTTCTTCTTCGCGCTGACCTCTTCAAAACGATTGTTCACCCTCGTTCGTAGATCGTATCTCTCATATTTCGAAGCACACGAACCCCTCTCTCGAAGCCGATTACGAGATGCGAAAAGGATCGAGAAGTCGAGCGAGAACTCTCGATTCTTTTTTATAATAGACGTAGTAAATAAAATGCCTTTAAAAAGAAATAGACGCGACTAGGAGGATGCTTTACAAAAGGGAATTATCAGAATGAATTCTGACGATACTGAAGTATCTTGATAAGATTCATTGAAAAATAATAATAATAAAAGGAAAGAATTAATATTTTATATTAAAAGCTTTCTTATATTTGATAATACGAAAGAAATTCAATAGAAATTGTTCGATTTAGTGTGTGTATGTGTGTGTGCGTGAGAGAAAGAGAGTTATTAATAATTCTGTTATTTTCTTTTCTTTTCTTTTTCTTTTTCTTTTCTCCTTTTTTTTCTTTTTTCACGACGTTTCCTCTTCCTGGAACAATTTGTTGACTAATTAGCAAGAAACCCACGGTTTCGTGCGTCTTACGGTTTTTCGGTTCAGGTTCGAGAGACGAAACGCTCGAGCTTTCAAGAAGAAAACATCTCTTCTCGGCTCAGCGAACAAGCATGACGACGTGATTCCTTCTTAAGAGGTATACACACGACGAAGTTTTCGAGGACCCTCATCCTCTGACGGGGTCCTAACGGACCGAACGATCTTATATTCATGTATGTATATACATATATATATATATATATATACACGTATGTATATACATATATGTATACATACGCGAATGCATTAAACGTTAAAACACACTCGCGCTCGTCCGAACCACTCTTCGTCCTTTGGATTGTTTGAAGAGCCACTGGCTCGTGTTTGTATATTTCATAACCCGCTCGCGAGGTTCTAAGAGGGGCCTCATACGGCCCGTTTTCCGCGGCCCATGACAAAGGGTGGCTGCCTAGACTCTCATGCGTCTATGTATATGCATGTTACTCTCTCTCTCTCTCTCTCTCTCTCTCTCTCTCTCTCTCTCTCTTTTCTCTCTTTCTTCTTTTTCATTTTTCTTTTCTACTTCTTTTTTCTTCTCTTGGTACTTCGGTCTCTCGACAATTCACGGGAGCATAAACAGAGAACCCTTTAAATTGCTTCCTTTCCGTCGAGAAATTTCTTCTCTATACGAGTTTCAGTCGAGATTAGAGAGAGAAAACGTTCGGAGAACGTTTACATTTCGACTATTAATTCGATTATGAAACTGGCCGTGGTTCGAATATTTAAAAAAGAAAAGGAAAAAGAAAAGAAAAAAAGAAGAAATAAGAAAATAAATAGAAGAAGAAGAAGAAAAAGAGAATAAAAAAAGGAAGAAAAAAGAAAAAATAAGATCGGTGTCATAACATGGGATATCGTGGGTTAATGCGTACATGCGTGAGTGCGTGCACTCGTCTAAGTGTGCGTGTGAACGCGCATACATGTTCATTCGGGCTTAACCTTTGTCTCTTTTCATATTAGATAATGATTATATAAATAGCCTTTCGTAATTCGAGTAAGTATTAAGCAATTAATATTTCGATCCGGTTGGGATATTCTTGAATTATAAATATATGGTATTTGTACGAATTTCTCAGCGATTATATATTTTTTCTCCTTCTCTTTCTCTTTCTTCGAAAAAAAAAAAGAAAAAGAAAAAAAAAGAAAGAAAAAAACCCATAGATGTTTGTCTTTCGAGAGAAATTAAACTTGAATACGCGTGGAAACGATAAAAGATTAGATATACGCTTCGTCATCTATCTTCCGTATGCTTGGTAATAACTATGAAACCATTTTCAGGAAAGTGGCCAACACGAAAAACGGTAAAGTCTGACTTTCATCGCTTGCGGATAATTCCGTCATTACCGTCTCTGATGATTGAATACGGTATATATAATCTCTCATTCTCTTCTTCTCCTTCTCTTTCTTCTTCTTCTTCTTCTTCTACCGACCAAATGGATTTTACGAATCTTCTTGAAGGCATTATCTTTGAAAGAGTGCCACCTGCATTATGTCTCTTGAGTATACCAAAGTTTCCGTTGTTTCTCTCTCTCTCTCTCTCTCTCTCTGTCTCTCTTTTTCATACATAATTAAATACATACATACATACATACATACGTACATAGACCGAGAGTCTAAACAAAAGAAAAGATTCCGTCAGCGTACGATTGTCGAAGAAAATCAATGGGAAATATATAAACGAGTCGATTCAATTGGAACGAGGATAGATGACATTGGCATCGCATCGACTCTCGTTCAAGATCGAAAATGTTAAAGGAGAAACGTTTAATCGGCCTCGTGTCTGACCATTAACGCCGTTCACCACTGCACGGCCAATTTCGCACGCGAGATACATCGGCTCCTTGTCGTTTATTGCCGCACGCAATGATCGCCATCTCGCTTGTATATAAGAAAGAGAGAGAGAGAGAGAAAGAGAGAAGAAAGAGAGAGAGAGAGAGAGAGAGAGGATCATTGCCTTAACGGCTATTTCAATCTCGTCTCGAAATTACCGTCTCACGTAATGCGAAAGAATAGCTATATACGTATCTATAGATCCATAGCTATATATATATATATATATATATATATATATGTGTGTGTGTGTGTGTGTGTATATAGATGGGATATACCTACATATATACACACGTTTATCGACCGTTAAGCAGCCGCGGCCGTAGCAGTAAGATCTGTCCGTCCATCCTGGGAGAGAAAGAATTTCGGTAAAGCGCCGTCTAACGTTCTTTCTTACTTTGGCCATTTGCATTTGCCTCCTCTTCCAACTTTCACCGATTCCAACTTCGATAGGAGAAATATACGAGCGTACGGAGGAAGGAACGAGCATCTCTTTTCACGGTTTCTGTTCCTAATGGCACAGGAAACGATCTGCGAGAGCGTCTACCCGCGAGACTTTGCACAATCCCAGGCACGTTAGTGGCTTCTCTCTCATTGCTATGTGTGTATGCGTGTAGATTGTACGTATACTATCGTGTCGATGCCTCTCTCTCTCTCTCTCTCTCTCTCTCTCTCTCTCTCTCTCTCTGTCTCTCTCTCTCTCTCTCTCTTTTTAGTACGCGCGTGTACCTTCAAGGAGCACAGCATGTACATGCTTCTCATATCTCCTTTCTCCCGTGCGCATCTCCTCTCCTCGAGTAGGTAACGTCGTCAGGCATCTCTTTCTGTCTTCTTCTATGGCGCTCCTTCGACGTGCTTCTGTCCCCCTCCTTTACCATACCATCTTTGTCTTTGCTCCTTCGTCTCTCGATGATTTACTCTCTTCTTCTCCCTGGCGACGTTGCTTCTTCGTTCGAGCATTGCCAATGCGGTCCGTGAACTCTGTTCTATGTACACACGTAGAAACGATGGAAATGTGTGTGGGTGCCACGTACGTTTCTCGTTATATTATCACTACGTGAGTCTGATGCGGGCGCTTTTATCAATGGCCGAGACGTCACGCTCGTTTGACGTATCTCTGTAACTTGTTGGTATATACCAATATACCGTATAACTATTTGTATATATATAGATATGCGTGTGTGCGTGCGCGCACGCCTAGATGTATCTGTATGTTTGTTTATGTGCGTTTATCTATTGTGCATGCTTGTGAAATTTAGGACTGGTTATTACCATGAATTATTGAACAATCGTATTTGAAAATTTATTGAATTGATCATTCTCGAATAGAAT